AATTCTAATTCTTTACCTATTTATGCTCTGCAACCAGTACAGTATTTATCTAATTGAAAATAACTTTCCTTTTTTTTTTTTTTTTTCTGGCTACACAAAACTTTTTTTAATTTCCTTTGAAGAACATTTCTCCCTTTCCCTGCTCTTTTACTTATTCCATCTCTGCAGAGGACGTCTCCCCAAACTCTTCTAGACCGGCAATGACAGTTTGCTGTACCTCTTAGAAATATTTTCTGGATACTTATTATTACTGGGATTTTATTTATATTTGAACAGCAATGATGAAGAAAATGTGAAGTATTTGATTAAAACTCACAGCATTTATATTGTATGTAACCAGTGAATTAAAAATACTCCCAAGCAAGGCTTGAGGGCAAAATAAATGGGGTAGAAATGGTTGAGTAAACTCACATTAGCTTTGCTGATTTTACATGTTGAGTCAATATTGCTTTACCTTGTCTTCCCTCTTTAGTTCTAAGCTATTCAGCTGTATGCACCCCTCTTGGTAACATTTACTTCTGGAACATTTTGAAAATTGTTTATGTAGTTAAAAAAAAAATAGCAGGATGCTTTCACTGTTTTACCTCCAGGCTGACAAAATATCTAGACTTTCAGGAGTTTCTCTGTGTATAAACAGAGATGACTTTAAGTATTTTCCATTTGAATTTAGTATTATAAGTACCATCAAAACAGTTATTTTATCATAACTGTTGTATCATATAATTGTATCATATAACTTATTTATTTGCAAATATTCCCAGTAAACTTCTAGATTTTTTTTGTAGCATCTTGTTTTTTATGAGAAATTACATTTAGTCATTTTATAACTTCAAAACTTCATAAGAGAAATTCAGAAAACATAAATTGGCTCTCTTCATTAATAATCATTCACTTAGCTCAAATAAGTTTGGCAGTTTCTTAAAACCTTTGGTATTATGTAGAACAATAAGGTCTTCTGATTTTGTTTCAAGTTTCCTCACATTAAAATAATTTCATTGTTCCTTTCAAAGTAGAAAACTTCAAAATATTTTTATACATTTGATTCTCTATCACTTCAAACTTTTTTTATTCCTTCAACACTTTTTTATTAATTTCCTTAATTCTTCAGGCATGGACATTGATTTTAACAAAATATGAATGTTAATAGAATGAAAAAAATTCCTATATCTGATCGCATAATATCTGCATCTTAAATTATTTGCATTCCTTGACCTCAAAATACTCTAAAATGGGGTAACTCATTAAGAGACAAGGGAATAATGCTCAGCCTTTCAGGAGTTTCTCTTTCATTGTACTAGTGAAATGACTTTTTACATACTGCTTTTAGGTCTGAAAATACAGAAAATAGTATCTTTGTAGAAGCTCTTCTGCGATATCTGCTGGCTGAATTGGCAGTTGCAGTTTGAAAGTGCCACGTAGTAACACTAATACTAATACTGGCTGGAATCCTTCCAGTTCTATTAAACTCTTTCAATTTCTGATAATTAGTCTGCTCTGGCTGTAATCTGACAAGAGAACATTTCTGGAAGTCATACTATCCAAACTGGACTTCTAAATAGAGTACAGTGTTGGAAAAGGTTATGTGTGGATTTTAAGTATAATAACAAGTTGAAGAGGCACCGTTATTTTTCCACTTGGGAAGCTACAGCACAAAAGGTCTTCATGGGAACAACAGTGTGGTAGGTGTTCAAAGGACGTAGACATATAAGACTTCATACAATGCTTTGGAAAAATCGTCTGTCAAGGGGTTATACCCACTGTGAAATAAAGAATTTATATATGTAACAAAGAGTTCAAAAGCATATGAATTTTATTTAAAGACTATGAATAGGGTTACAATAGCAATGATGAAATCTTGTCTTTCATGTAGACTAGAGATAAGAACAAAGTCTTACACTTGCATTATTATAGAATCATTTCTCTTGTGTTTATGACATTTTCATTGTTCAGGAGGAAAGGATGGACCATGAACTCTGCTTTTCTATTCTTATGAATTTTACTATGATTTATTATAATATTACAGTATATTACTAATCCATAATAAGTCTTTTGCTCATCTCTAATATTATATGAGAAAGTTGAATTTTTTTTGAGGAATTGTGAACCTTGCATTTCTTTGGTTGAAAGTTTTTCTAATTGTATTGGAAGTGCTCAAGGACTTCTTGTCGTCTCTTCAGTTAAAGTGCAGAGATATTATGGAAAGGAGGGATGATTTCAACTGAGCTATTTTATGCCACTTACTGAGTCCCCCTGCCTTTTCAGGGGCTAATCTCACTGCATTTAAGACCTGCTCACTGAAATGAGCTGTTGAGAAAAGCTGGAAGGAGTCTTTCCTCCAGCTCTTCCACCAAACTGCTCTGCATGTGGGATCCCTCCCAATTCACTTGGGACAAGCTTTTAAGTTGAGATTTGCGTGCTTTAAGATGATTTGACTATAGATACCTCTGTGTAATCAGTACTTCCTGAAGGCTATCTAAAGAAAAAAACAACTCATTTTTTTAAAGGGGCTTGGATGGGATACTGATTAAATACCATGTTCAGGTTTTTAATTAAGTATCTGTTGTATTAATCAATTTATTCATCCTGCTCTGTTTCACTAAGTAGAGAATTCCTGTTTTAAATGTTGAATATGCAAAGCCTGCTTTATGCCTTTGCACTTCATCAGCTCAGATGCAGTTGTCAATCCATCCTGTAACAATGTCACAAAGGGAATATTTGTTTTTCTTCCTTTTTTTATTTGACTAATTGTTCAGGACTTAAATAATGAACTGCTGTCTTCAGTTAGCCAAATTGTAGTTGTCTAGGTGATTTCTTCCTGAGAAACTGGCTTCCTATCTTAGCTCCTTTCCTGTCAGTTGCCTTCACTCTTTAGGAGAAATACAGAATTTAATCTTTTCTTTAGAGTTAAAAAACGTACACATTCTAAGCCATAAAGCTCAGATATTGCTTTTCGTCCTACATTTTTTTTTATACTCAATAAAAACACATAGCACAAAAGTAGATTTATCCCATGTAGTTCTCATTCTTTTCCACGTTTTGCCTACACTTCAGAGAGTTTAAATCTCACTAAGGGAGCCCTTTCATTTAGGAGACAATTGCCTGAAAAGCAAAGATCAGTGTTGATAGTTGTTACGAATTGGACTTTCCACATCAATACTTGAGCCGTATCAGCCTGTGACTGGCATAATAAATATTACATGCATGTATTTTTTTGTTAGACAAAGGTGCCATCTTGTGGCAGAATGTTGGAAGTTGTATAAAACAGTTATAATTTTGGTGGAGAAAGGAAGTCAAATTTTTAGCAGTATTTCCAGTATTGTTTCTTGTACCATCATACACTGAACCATGATCCTAATATATATATATACATATATATATACTGAAGATATCTGATAATCCAGCAAGTGAATATTTAGTCCATAAGAGAAGGCACTTATGAAAAATGCCTGATGGCAAAAAGTGTTCAGCATTGGGAAAAATGTGATAATTCTTTCCTCTAATACAAAGTCAGCTTACAGTTAAAAGACCGTCTTTATTAAAAATAAGGATGTTTGTTATGTGTCATTCTCAGAAAAGGGGTTAAATTACTCGTAGATTTGTCTTACATCTAAAAACTGATAATAACATAAGATGGGACATTAGTGACTACATGAATAAAACTAATTAACACTATTCCTATTTATCTTTTCTTTTACCATGCAATTTTCTCATTTACAGTAGCAAATTGTAAATGTTGCAAATATATGACCTCTATAAATAAAATACATGGACTAACTAAGTATCACAATTAAGATTTGCCAGCCAGACATACAGGTTTTCTAAATGGCCTAAAAAATAAAGTTTAGATCAATAAATGATTGAGAACTGTATTTATATTTTGTATTATATGATTCAAGGAGAGGTGAAAAAGGAAAATAATTGGTGCATCGAGGAGGTATCAGAAGAATAACAGTAATTAATTGTGCACAGGTGGTCTTGATGAAGGAGGCATCTGTTGCACATTTCTGAAGCAGCAGGGAAGTCAGACAGATGTGACAGCCTGTGTAATCGGAACATGAGTAAGTACCAAGGAGTCATCTTGCTCTCAGAAGTGTTTTTCACTGACTCTTGCCAGCTACTTTTTGCCTTTAACAGAAATCAGTTTAGTGTTTAGATAAATGTTTGGTGTGTTTTATGAGGTGCAATATAAAAGTAAGTAACAGAAAATGGTAAATTAAATATTATTTCAGTAGAAACACCATTAGAGAATACTGACTTTACTCATGCTCTGACTTAAAAATCAGGTTAGTCCTACTAAGCATTTTGGAAATAAATGAGTTTTTAAAGATTGAAGACATGAATAAGGAATGGCACAAATACTTGTGGTTTACTATCTGTACTTTCAATTCAAGAACTTAATGTAACAAACAAAATGTCAAAGCCATAAATTTTAGAATTTTAATGAAGAAATATTTTTTCCCATATTTGATGGTAACCTAAAAGAGTCCATTACAATGACAGTTTAAAGTAAGGCAACAAATCTCATAAATTCAGGAGAGAGGTTACATATTCACATGAGCCAATACTGAAATCTTGTATGATATTCACAAGGATGAAAAATATTCATGGAGAATATAAAAGCAGAATTAATTACTAACAAATTTGAAAGTAAGAAGAAGTTACCTCTGTCTGTACATTAGGCTATAATCTGAAGAATTTGGTAATTATTAAAAGTGGACATAGAGCAATCCATATATATAGAAGGATTAATATTATTTTTATATAATGAATAATTTCTAATGTTTAAGATATATAGAAATATTGTGTTGAATGCATAAGGCATATGCAAACAGTTAAAGTCCTCACAAATCTATGCAGATCAGTCTGTAATTATTCACACCTATATTTACAATATCTGACTTTTACATATAAGAAATGTTCATTTTTCTCAAGCAAGGACATGGCTATTATACTTTGCTTTAGTAAAGAGGTTGCAAAGTAGCAAATAGTCTTCTCCTGACTGATATCCCTGTCACTTGTTCATCCAGAAGTATCATGGAAATATTCATACACTTCAACAAGAAAGATGAGAAATTGGGCTGTGAGTTGCCAGTGATTCTGTCAGGTGAACACCTTATTTTGCCACTTTAAACGAAGTTCTTCTGAAAGATCACTTCTGCCAGTCTTCTGCAAATAGTGAGACAAGAGCTGCTGTTTATCAGCCGACTTTGGAAGGGTCTTTTTCCAGCAGCAAAGCAGCTCATAGATCTGGTGTGTTAAATTATCAGGGCACTTCAGCCTAACAAGCTGAAGCATGCTTCATCGAACAGGTAAACATAAAGCAAACAATGATGTATTATCTTCTGCAAGCTCTTCTGCAAGCCAGAACAGCAATTTGGTCCATAGGGCCTCTGAAAGGCAAAAATTAGTGAAGTAAGAATAAATCTTCCTTTTTTTTTTGAAAAGCTTTTTAAAGCTGGAGGCTCAGTGGGTAAATTGCCCAGCTAAATAGGGAGTGTTTTATACTTTGGTGGAAACATCATCCCATCTCATTTCCAATGTCGTTTTTGGTAACTGCTCTGCAGTACAAATTGAATTTAGTCAAGGGCAGATTCAGCAATGATCTATAATATTTGGAACTGAAAGGGGAAAGTTAGCAATAAAATAAAAGTTTCAGTATTTACTGCAACTGATTCATCAATTATACTGGAGCTTTCCAGTACCAACTGGAGTTCTTTATACACAAAATTATATGCTGTTCAAGCATCCCACCACAACAGTATCTTACAAAAGCTATTGCATTTTCTGGTAAACAGATCTATTTTCCTTTGACTACCTATTAACATATTAACTATTTCTTTCTATGGCATTTTCAAATGATAGTAACAGCTGAAACAAAACCTGGAATTAAAAAAAAATAGCAAGCATAGGTCTTTTTTATATTAATATTAATTTAATGGTTGTTTTCTTACCTGAAGAATCAGACAAAATTATTTTTGTACTTCGTGGACGGTGGATCAATTTTTCATGCTATTAAAGAAAATGTGTTGAGGAAAGAGAAATGATGAGTAAGAGGTGAGACATATGATTTGGGAGTGGATTGCAGTAAAATCTTGGGGGTTTAAGCATTTTAAATCTTTTCTACTTACATAGACTATTTTTGTCATTATTAAAAAGAATTAACACCATCAGCGGGTATAAAACAGCATGTAACTATTAAAATAAGGAAATTAACAAAATTTCCAGCTATCAAGTGGGTGTTTATTATCTCTTATAAAAAATTCATCCTTCATGCAACATTACAAATATTTGATTAATAGCATTATGCCATAAGTGATGTATATAAACTGGGTGTATAGAAAATCTGTATAGACCTTCCTAGATTATACAGATTCTAATTTTGAATACTGCATTAGCTTTGCCTTCCTTTCAAGGAAAAGAACAATTTTTAGTTATGCAGTAGCTATTGTAAGGTCAGGTAAACACACTGCATTTGTAGCTATAGTTATTCACGTTACATAGTTCATATTTTAATAAATCATCATGAAAAATAATCAAAATTCTAAAGATAAGTTCCATTAGAAAGTAGAGAGCTTTTCATCTTTCTTCCTCTAAACATGAGAGAGAAAGAAAAAATACTTTGTCCTTTTTTACCTATGGCTGAGAAAGATGAAAGTTTTCTGGCCATTAGTGTTGTTTCCTACTGCATATAGAACCAGAAATTACTTACATAACCACTGAGCACAAAAAGAGATTAGGTTGTATGAAGTGAAATTCAGATTTTGTTGTTTGAAAATGAAATTATCCTCTTTCAGTTCTCATGTTACTTTTGTCACACACATTACACAGACAGTATTACGTGGCTGTTTATTCACAGCTCTCCCAAGGAAATTTGCCTGAGGTTTATTCACTGATTTGCTGGTTTTCATTTGGGAATTAAGAACATGAAACTCGGACTGCAAAAGTTATCCTTTTTCTTTCTGATACACTGAGCATTATGGAGTTTGTCTTAATCACTTTTATAACACAGGCTTTAAATATTGTTCAATATTTGGAGTGTCTCAAACGTACTGAGCTGCACAGCCATAAAGTCAATATATTCATAACTATTATGTATTGTGAAGGTGCCTATTCATCAGGCTGTACGCAGTCATCCTGGGAGGTGATTTCAGTGCACACAGGATGCACACATTACACACTGCATGGCATCCTGTGCTGTACTGCTCTGGAGACCATGGGGGTTGGACTTGGTGACCTTTAAAGGACCCTTCCAACCCAAGTCATTCCATGATTCTGTGGTCTGAATTGTTTCGTTTTGCTTGGTTCTACAACAATTCTGTCACTGGATGTGCCCCAGCGTGAAGATAGAATGACACAGCTAAAAAACTCTCAGAATAAAGGGAATATAAAGCTCTTCCAGAAGGGGGCATTGCTTTTCTTCCAAGACTCAGCTTTCTCTGGCTTTTAATAATGCATTTGTATTTAAACATTTTTTCATTCATAATAAGAATTTACCACCTCAAAGGTCTGTATTAGATTTTCAAAGTTATTGTAGATGAACTCAATTACCCATGCATTGACTTTAATCTGAACCACTTCATGCTACTTAGTGTTAAAATAGTAGTAAAAATTATAAGGATTGAAAATCAGTATTGTCTAAAAATAGTGTAATAATATACAGTGCATTAGATCTAAAACAGTAAATTGCCTTTAAAGATTAAGTGTCTGTGGTGAAGTGCTAAATTCACCCACGGTTCAGCTGCACTGGCATGTGGTCCTGCTGTTCTGGTTGACGGCTAAGTAAAATACTCTTAGCAGTCAAAGCAGTTTTCTAGTCTGGAAAGTGCTTCAATTAGCCATGCAACTGCCTTTCTGAAGCAGGGAATAACATGCTATTCTGCTGTTAGACAGTCATTAGACATAAAACTTCAGCAGAATAGTAATTTCATAATGTCTATATGTATTATTTTTGCAAAGCATTCCCAGCCAGTAACATTGATGTGCTTTGTCAAATGGATCTCTCAGACATGACCAGACTCTAGTAGCATATTAAACAGGACAGACAGAAAAGCAGGAAATAATCCCTTACCTCCTTAGCCCACTGTGTCACATAAATACAAAATGTTTGAAATCATTAGGTATGCACACACATACTTGACATCAAAGCCTAATGCATTGTGTCTGACTTGTGTTGAACAAAATAGGTTAGAGGAACAGGTGTTTTCTGTTGCTGAGGAAAGGAAAGCACCATAAATCGGAATCATTAGTGAAAATAAGATTACTTCTGTAGAAATATATGTTTAAAGTAAATACTGATGTGAATGTTTACATACAAAGTAAACAAACAGCATTTTGACCACTGTCAGCAATATATTTGTAAGTGGATAATGAGGACATATGTATATAAAAAATAGGTTATGATTGTACAGTTACTGCCTTCTTTACAAAAGAAATTTAGATGGGAATTTTACAGAAATGAGTGGAAATGTAATAGTCAGAATGGTTGCCTTAAAAAGATTCCATCTGTCTTTGTTGCAACCAAAATCAGACATTCTGGATTCTTTCAACTATCATATGGAAAAAAAAATAAATTGAGAAACGTGTGAAGATAAATTCAAAAAGAGAAAAACACTACTGTTTATCACCAGAGATTTAGACCAAGTGTTTCTGTAGATATTTTGATACCAAAATGTATGCAACTTTGATAGTAGTAGTTTAGAGGCAGCATTTTGCGTGCAAAAGGCAACATAGCGTGCTGGTACATAGGCTCTTTAAAAAGTTTACAACGAGGTTTCCTTGAAGGAATATTAAAGATTAATTTATATAGCATTAGCTTTCACCAGAGATGGAGATAACTGCCCACATGACTGCACTGCAGAGGCTAATCAGGAATAATAGAATAATCAGGCGATAGGTGGAAGACGAGTTACACAAGCCATTTAATGATCCTACAATTTGCAATTCTATGCTCCCAAGACAATGAAATAAGAATGATACACCTGAAACTTGAGTAATGATTTCACAGTGCCATAATAATATCTCCCTTCCAGCTGGGGAGAGCAGATGGGTAAAAATGTTCTGCTAGAATTTCTTCCATGCTTATACTTGTATATGGGTCCTTCCCCACAGCTAAGAGAAATTCTGAGAATGTTTGTACACTGACGATGCACCAGAAGTCTATTAGTGACTTTTGTGTTTATCTGTAAATCAAAAATCATACCAAGATCCCTTTTCTAATAAATACATGGAAAGGCAGAAAGGGAAATGTCTCTAGTATTATCAAGTGAGAAACGCAACTTTGGCAATGTTAATGCTAATTTGCACAGTGGAGACTGGTGTTGATATTCATCATACGGTAAGGTTTGTTCCCATTCTTTGATATCATCTCTCTGGTAATTTTATAAAACACTGCTGTTCCTTTGTAATGAGGTGAACTGTGGTTACCAAATTCATCCACTTCTTTAATTTGGAGCTCCAGCCTTGGTTGTCTTTGTGAATGAAAAATCAGTCTGTAGACTTTCCTGAAGTCTTCTCCATTCTCTGCAGTGCATATAATAAAATCTTTTAAAAAACTTTTTTTTATCCTGCATTTAGATGCATGGCATCTAAAATAATTCATTAGCATGAGTCAAGCAAAGGTAATCATATAATATTTGGTTATTCCTTTGTTGTTCTTTATCATTACTATTACTTTATTGAACATCTGAGCTCAGCCTGCTTCAGTAGAAGGCATATCTTTGTAGCTAGCTTTCTTAGCCCTTTAATAGTTGGCTTCAAGAATAAGTGGTGAAGGCAGTGCTACAAGTTGAAAATCAAGGAACAGAAAAGGAGGTATGTGCATAACACAAAAAAAGAATAAAAATAAAGGTGTGTTGTGAATTGAATTAGAAGTATATGCTTCCTGGTTATTCAGGATGGATGGCTATGTGTAACAACAAAATGAATGGCAGCAGAGGGGTAGATGCATTTTTAGGTTTTCTAAATCAATTCATTTAATACATCTACAGACATTGCTCTTTATGTATATAAGAAGATATTTCTCATGGGCTAGAGACTTCTCTTTTTGAAGAATATTCCTTTTTTAGAGTACATGCAGTTTTCAATGGGACAGTTTATGTACAAAATGTTCAGAGGGCCAAATACATATTTATATGTTCAATCTAAGACAGAACAGACTATATGCAATTTAGGGTGAAAACCTTTCAGAGGCTTCTTATCTCTTTTCCCTATAAGCAAATCTCTGAATGGTGGCAGCCACTACATGGAATTTTCTAGGCTGCTAACAGAAATGGCATAACTCTCTCTCTCATCACCTCAATTCACAGTGCAACTCACAACAGGCAATATTTTGCCTTGTTTTCTAGCTCACTCTAAGTGAATTTACTTGGACAAAGCAGCAGACAGAAACCTGTCCTTTTAAAATAATTCTTAAAATACCATGTGTTTCTCAGGAACCGGGTTTCACAGAATTCACTGGGGTTTAAGAGGTCTCTGAAGATCATCTCGTCCAACTTTCCTGCTGGAAGCAGGATCAGCTAGAGCATATTGCTCAAGCACTCATTCAGGTCGTACATTTTCTTTACAGTTGGAACAATTTTCCATTAAGCTCCACGTTTCTTTCTTTGATAAGAAACAACACTGAAATAACTAAATGTACTGTGAGTAACTTCAATCTACATGGGTTCCCATACAGCATTTTTTAATAGCTGAGGAAATTGATAATGTTCATACAGATGCATGAATTAACTGCCTTACCTGAAGCAGAAATATTTCCTGTAAATCTAAAATGAATCTGCTCTCCTTGCCTTAATGGGAACTGCTGTGTAGGTTCTGGGGGACCAAAATAACTCTCCTCATGGAGATTTTGAAGTTCATTGGTCAATTCCCTGGATGTAGACAGCAAAACTACTATTTTATAGTAAATAATGGGTTTTCTCCTTTCTGATACAGTATCACATTAGCCATCATGCTATGGAGAACTTCTTCCAGAGCCTGAGCAAAAAGAAGAAGACACCTGTTTTCCAAAAGGAATGCAAGTGAAATGACCACAAACCTGTATTAAGGTAAAAAAAAAAAAAAGAGGAAAGAAAATGAAATAGCTTTATTTTAAATAATTTATCAACTGCTAGTAATTTATTCTTAAAAATATTAGGGGGCTCAGTCGCCAAGGAAATTTTTGCTACTTTCTTTTCATCCTTGTTTCCAACGCATGAAAAGGTGGAAATTTGTTTGTGTTTGTAAAGTATGTTGACTACATAGGTGTAATTTCAAATACATATGAATTTTACATAAAAGTAAGATAATATTTCATAATAACAATTTTTAAATTATGCCTTTTTAGTTAGAGAGCTAAATTACATTTGCCAATTGACTGATGTATTTTTCAAGTGTCTATGTACTACATTGTGTACATTCCATAAATGAAAAAGGTTGGTTTTTTTTTTTGTTATTATGAGAAAAAAATCTAGGAGCAAGTTAATGGATAAAAAGGGATGATTTCTTAGCACTAGTAATTTCCACTTATTTTAAACACACATATTTCAGTGAATAAAATTTTGTTAAATTAGTCATACATTACCTTTCTAAATGCTCGTTTAGTTCAAAAGATACAAGTCCATTCTGTGCATTCTGTATAATAACATCATCAAACACCTTCCACCCCTCTTCTTTGTTTCCATGACCTAATAATTTCAAAGTATCACAGTGATTGTCCCCACTTTTCCTCACAGAAGTGCTCACAGCCCTGGAAAGTCAAATAATTATAGAAAACAGTAACATAAAAATAGTTCTGAAAAAAGAGTAAGCTTGTGTTTGTAGCAGTTTTACACTCTGCTGTTCTTGATGACTTTTTCTGGTTTACCTATCTTGCTTAAAATCTGTATCTGGAAAGGTACTCCAGAGTATGTGAATGATATAATTATTTAGAGATTTTTTTTTCTTTAATTCTCCAGAAACTGCTGAAACATAGACATTATCTTTCTTTCTTTCTTTTTTTTCTTTTTTCTCTTTTTTTTTTTTTTTCTCTTTTTTTTTTTTTTTCTCTTTTTTTTTTTTTTTCTCTTTTTTTTTTTTTTTCTCTTTTTTTTTTTTTTTAAGGAGTGTTCATGTTTTAATGTTTTTTTTAAGACATGGCAAAAAAGCATAAAATTGACCTACTATAAACCATTGTGCCATGCATTTTGATTCAGGCAACCATTGAAATACATAGAAGTAGAGATTAAAAAATTCAAAGGTCAGACTCAAATCAACTTGGTGTGTTATGAACACAGCAGCTTTAAGTAATTTCTATTCTTTGTGTTCAATTTTTGGGTTTGTTGAATATGCGTGAATATTTCTTGGTGAAAAAACTTCATATAGTCTTCATTCTGACTCCTGCTAGAAATGTAGTGGTCACCATATTTAAAGAATAAACATCAAATACTGTATTAATTTTTCTGGTGAAACTATAGCATGAAAATTTTGAGGGTTTGCTCTAGTGTTTCTAACAAAGCTCATAGGTATTGCAGTCTATATTAAAGAACAACCACAGTTTTTATACAAGAAATAATAAACGAAAAACTGTTAAAATTCATTGATTTTGATGTTTTAAAAAATGGTGAATTTGAAGTGAAGGTCTTACCGAGGATGGTATGCTGCAGCAACCCTCTTTACTGTAGCACTAATGACTCTTGCATGTTCTGTCTCATCTCCTTGCCTCTTTTTGTCTGGGTTTGGGGGACATGGTAGAGTAATAGTGACTGAGCTGTTAAAAGGCTGGGCTGAAGGATGCTGGACATGAACCAGTGCACTAGTAGATATCACTGAGTGGTACATATCATGTTTTGCTTTCAATGCTGAAACCAATGATGGCTCAATTGGCTGAATCTAAATATAGAAAGAAATTGTATAATCAACTTACAAAAAAAAATAAAAATCTTCCACTACATGCCTGGATTTGTTTACAAAAATTGGTTATACAAAATTGGTTTATCTTTTGGAGTTGACGAGACTATCACCTGTGAATCAGACTCCTCTCTTTAACCCAAGAACAACCTTACCTAAGTAACAGCACTTTATACAAAGCTCAGAAAAATGCTTGAAAGTCATCGAAACCTGGAGCTTTTACTGCCTAAAATATTGTTTTGTTCCTGATTTGATGTCAAGTTTTGAAACTCATGAGCTTCCTCAGATTTTGAAAAGAATCTGAGATTTTTCTAATCTGTATTTTTTCATAATTTTAGTTTCTCCATACTTCCAAATTAACATCTTAATGGGGAAAAGGAGAAACACAACTGAAGCACAATTTGAGACTATACTCAGCTCAAGAATAATACAGGATAAAAACCTTTTGTTGCACTTGCGGCACCAAGGAGAGAAACGGTGAGAGAAATGAGTCAGATGAGAGAAATAGTTCCATTAAATTGATCATTGGGCCAAGCAATTAAAGTTTTGAGTGGACACATCTTTATTGAAAATGACTGTATTTTCTGAAATATATCAAACAAGGGTAGATAGATCTTTTTTAGTTAAACATATCCCTGACATGTGGTTTAACAAAGCTGACAGGAAATCTGCATGTACAGGATGTGAAGCTGCAACCACTTTTTGTACATTTCTGATATTGGAAGAGATTGCACATCATTAGCATACTCACTTCAGAACTGATCAGATAACAGGCTTATAGAGGTATCACATATTTCAAACTTACCTTTAACTGCATAGGTGCTGGAGAACTGAATGCTTCTGGATGGTAATAAAAAGAGATTCTAGAATCCACATTCAGCTTTTGTAAGAGTTCTACCTTTGGAACAGTAAATGTTTCCTTCTTTAAGCATGACAACACAGAAAAAACACCCAGATGATAAAGTTTCACTTCTGCAAAGCTTTCCTGAATAAAGAGAATGTGAAGTTAAAGTATTGAAGGGAAAGGAAGCAGTGTTTCACAGTTTAATAAGGTCACATTCTCTATAGAGCAAAGTATTAAAATAAATTGACTATTATTGCCACCTGCATGCCCAAGTACCTGGTGATCTGTAGTCATCATGTGATGTTTATATTCCAGTGTATGATTAAGGAGAAATGAAATAAACTTATAAACTGGGTGATGAATTTGGTCCAATAGAACACATCTGCATTTAAAAAACTGTGTTCATTTGATATAGTTTGTACTTATACTCATGGAACTGTGTTAGTTTGTTGTGATCTAAAAGCACAGTAATTCCTACTAAATTTTACTTTTATCAAATAATGTAACACACTGCACTTATTTATAATAATCATGAAACATTACTCAACCATTAGTATTGTGGGATCAAGCATTTGCTTAACATTGTAAGTGAAAAAAAGAATGTTAGTAAATACTAGTTTTCAAATAGAATTAGTGCTTGACCACACATAGTGGGCAATATGATTTAATAATGGCAACTTTACTTGAAAAACTCCAGAGACTTAACTGGGAAGCTCAAATGATGCTTTTACAATCCTTTGATAAGTGTTACTAACCTTATGGTTTCCTTGGTATCCTTGCAAAGAAATAGGAGTTAAGTAGTTTGACTGGAAGTTGGTATCAGTCACTTTCACCATAATCTCCCGATAATTTCCTCTGAAGCATGATGTAAATGGGATTGCAATGTTGATAGGGAAAAGTAGTTTTTCATTATCATAACATTCAATACTGATGACATTGCTGACCAACTCCTCAGAATCATCCACCACCAAGGAACTAGTGTCATTGAGTATATTACACTTTAGATTCTCCAGAACAATTGCAGGGGCTTTAATAAAACAAGGGGTTTCCTGGGGGTTCTTTCCACTCCCTTTGACTAGGAATCTATTAAAAAATTTTGTATTTTAAGTGGGGTAGAATTTTGTATTTTTTAATTAAATACTTCAATGTAATGATGTGCTATAATGAAGCAGAAGAAGATAATTCAGAAAAAATATTTTTAAGAATAAATGAGAAAATAATGAAAAATTTAATGTTTAGCCTGTTTCAGAACAGCTTACAAATTACTGTAAAACAGTATTCATCAGAACTGTTGTCCTTTCCTACTAATTTCCAACAATTTGAGGATTATTGACTTTACTGGCTGTGACTCAGTCCCTCTCTGGCATAAAAAAAATATGCAAATAGAAACTTAGGGTTTACTTTAGACCAAAGGGAAAGATCTTCATTGCACATGTTCAAATTGCAAACTGCTGTTATGTGCACAAGCAGCATCTGTTCAGTACATATCTATTGAGTTTCTGCACCCACACATGTTTATAAGTTAATAAGTAATAATTATGTACATCTGTTCCAAAAAGAAGGAAGACAATGTGCTTACTCTTTCTTCATCCAGTATCTAGATTTTTGTACTTCTTCTGAATCACTCACAGACGGATTCACATCAGGAAGATCATAAGTTTGTGATGAAGATACTTATGTAATTTCTAAGAATGTCATTATTTTTTAAAATTTTATTGTCTTCCATTTTCTCTGTCAGTTTGTGGTCTTCACTTTCTAGCCCTTTTAAACTGTCCCTGACTACTTCCTTTTTCTCCTGTTCAAAACGATTCATGATGCTTCTGTCATAAATGTCCTTCAATGTCCCAGACAGAATGTCTTCCTCACTGCTTGTAAGAGGATCCTGAAAAGCCTCCAGTTCTGGAGGCCTTTCAGTAACTGAGCTACCTCCCTGAAGTTTATCCTTTCCATTGCACTCTTTTTTCTCTGTAAAAGAGACAATCAGTAGTTGGTGTTCACCATCTTCCTTTTTCATTGCAAATTCTCTGCTGGTGTCTTGTTCTTGAGCAGATTTGTTTTTACCTAAGGATGCAATTTTCCCCACAGTTTTAATTTCACTTGTGTGGGTTTGATTGACATTTTGACTTTCTGTCTTGTTCAGAAAAGGAGTTCTTTGGAATTGCTGACTGGAACTGGAAGATGCTTGCGCAGAGTCTTTTGCTTCTTCTTCTGAACAATGCACGTCTGTTTCTCCAGAAGCATTTTCACCAGTCTGGTTCTGAAAATCACCATCTTGTTTGCAGCTTACAGCATAAAATTTATTTTCAGCCTCTTGAAGGTGTGAGATTGTATTTATGAAATACTCCTTTACTTTCTGCAAATAATCTATAACTCCATTGTATTCTGAGGCAAAAAAAAAACCCAAAAAAACCCAAAACCAAACCAATTACATTTTGCTATGAAAGCTAGACAAAAATGTGAAAACTATTATAAACATTTTTATTGAATTCCATATAATCCCATAGTACCATTCAATACATGAAGCACAGTCTATTTCCTGGCTTCCATTTAATGTTTTTTGCACATATTGCTATTCAGGTGAAGTCAATTTCTAAGGAACTGAATATAGACAAGTACATTTTTATACTGGTCTAAGAACAACTGGGTGTGTATTTGTCAAAACTTTACTTTGGCAGCTCTAAGGAGCACTTTTCTAATGATCACACACTAGCTAAATTCTAAATGACAATCAATCCAAAGCATTGATAAAATATAGTCAAATCAATTTGGGAAGATCTTTAAAATGAAACATTATATTTCCTAAAATTGAATGCTCTAAGATTCTAATGCATAGGCCTCTAGCAAGGCTGTTATACATGGACCTAATTTTAAATTCAGATCTTAGAAGCTCTGAATTTTTGCTATGAAGAATAGATGATAACACAAAACCACAAGCTCACATATAATACAAGCTCAGCAGTTTGTAATATCCAGTTACAGGAATGCTGAAGGTTGCCCTTGCATGTAATTAAAATCACTTTGTGAAGAAGAATGCACAAAAAGCACACAACCACTATGCACCATTCATGTAAGATTTTAAATCATTTTATAATCCCTTATTTTTCTCATCTTGAACCTTTTCTTAGAAATTCTTCAAGATATTGTCTCCAGTAATTTAAAATGTATTATAAATGTATCCTTAGAGCTCTTCCTGCATCCTATTGCTGTGAGCCCCTATAACTGGGCTCTTCACTAGTTAGCTATATTGGAAACCTTGGAAAATTTGTTGCTTATTTCTGTGTGCTGCATGAGATCCTGGATAATTTTGTTTTGCAGGTTAAATCTTGTGAAAATCAATACAAATAAGACAATAGATATAAGACACAATATGGTGTGCTCTCCACTCCCAAAGTACAGACAAAAGGAAAGGAAAAAAGAAAGGGCTGGTACAAGTCTTACAGGAAGCCTTTAACTTAACATTCACTTTTTTAACAATGTCATATGAGGTAAATAATACCTCAAGGTTTTCAGCTTGGAAAATAATTTTATTAAGAATACCATCACATATCAATGTGATTTGGATAGGTCTCTCATCTCTATTTACATCTGATTAATTTAAACCTAGAAAATACAGGTCAGAATAGATTTTTCTTGGTCTAAAAAATATTCCTTTCTAATACTTCCTCCGTTTTCAAGGAAGACTTATTAGACTTTGACTATATTTGGAAAAAAATAAAGAAAAAAGGAAGCAAATACATTTTTAAAGTTTTGTTTACACTGGTAGTTTCAAAAAATAAATACCATTTTACTCTTTTTCCTCAGGCACTTTTACAGGAATGAAGAAATTCTAGACAGTTTAAGAGAAATAAAAAAAAAAGGATTGGAAATACAAGAGCTTTGTTTGCAGAAGAGGTTGTAAAAGACCGTTTCCCAGTTTCACTGTAAGGTAAAGGTCAAGCTTAAGCAAAACCCTCAAAATTTACATTTCCCCCTGAATTTTGCATTTTCTAAACAAAACAAAAAAATCCGCAGACAAATTGTACAGCCCTTTAAACTTCCCTAAAATCAAATTTGAAGATAAGAGGGTAATTCAAAACAATGGCATTTTCTTGTGCTGTAAATGTGACTTTTCTAATATGGGCAAGAAAAGATGTGGCCTTGTAACCATATACTATCCAACTGTGTCACATGGAAATACACTTTTTCCATTCAATTACAAGGTTAACCATGAAATAACTCTTCTTTTGTGGTTTTCCTCTTCCCCGTTTGTTTTCTAACACTTTGTTTTCTGTGCTTTTTCTGATGTTTGATAACACAGCTTTAGAATAAAGAGGTAGTTTATATGCAACTGTCTCCAAACCTCTTTGCTGAGTGTTTTAAGGGAATTTTTCAGGTGAGAAATAGCAGCTTTTTGGAAGAGAATGATTCTTGGAAACCTGACAAAACAAGAATTAAAAAAAATCACATAAACCATGAGGCCAACAGGACAGTTAGCTTGCTTAGAGCCTAGAAGGAGGCTTTTTAAACTCAATATCTTGTTATTATTATAGACTTTATAAATCCGTAGGTTAAGACTCAGAAACACAAGCACAGCTAAACATTTCTGTCTGTAATCTCTTTCTTTCTCTCTCTTTGCATCATAGAATCATTGTAGAATGATAGAATGGCTTGGATTGGAATGAGACGTTCTTTAAGCTTTTTTCCAACCTTCCTTCATGTCATGGGCAGAGACACCTTCTAGTAGACCAGGTTGCTCAAAGCCTCATCCAGCCTGGCCTTGAACACTTTCAGGAATGGGGCATCCACAAGTTTTCTGCCTACTTCTCCCTCTTCCTGTGTCTCATTACTCTCTAAGTAAAGAATTTCTTCCTAACATCTAATCTAAATCTCTCTTCTTTTAGTTTAAAACTGTTCCCTCCTACTCTAGCACTATATGTGATAGTGTCCATATTAAAAAAAATCACTCTTCCTCTTTTTTAAAAGCCCCTTTTAAGAATTAGGATGATGTAACAAGGCACCCCAGAGCCTTCTTTTCTTCAGCCTGAACAACCCAAACTCTCTCAACCTCTCTTAAAAGGATAGATGCCCTGATCCCTCTGATCATCTTCATAGCCTTCCTCTGGACCTGCTCCAACAGGTCCATATCCTTGTGCTGGAGACTCCAGACCTTTATGCAGTACTTCAGGTGAGAGCTCACAAGAGTGGAGTAGAGAGGGAGAATCACCTCCCTTGGCTGTTGGATACTCTTCTTTTGAGGTTTAATGCTGATAGACCTTAGATAGAAATTTTCATTTTTTCTTCTTCTTTGATAAATGTTAATACATTGAAAATTGAAGACCGAGGAAAAAAATGTGAGAACCAGTCCTGCAAACAACAAGATCAGACAAGAAGGAAGAGAAGATACTGCAGACATGGGGCAGAGATTCCCTTGCAGCCCATGGGAGACCAAACTGGAGCAGATATCCTGCAGCTTGAGGAGGACCCAATGCCAAGGAAAGTAGATATCCCCTGAAAGTACTGCAGTCTGTTAAAAAGCCTGTTTTTCCTTATAGGAACTGCAGACCATGGGAAGGATCCACAGTGGAGCATGGAAAAGAATAACCAGGAAGGAATGTAGAGGGAATTGTTATGGACAGACTGCTGCCCTTGTTTGCCATTGCCCTGCACTCCTCAGGAATGTGAGGAGGTAAAGTACTTGGGAATGCAGGAGTGAAGTTGAGCGTGGAAAAAAGAAGAGGTGGATGAAAAGTCTTGTTTCAATGTTTTGTTTTGCCTTTGCTTCTCGCTATCCAAATCTATTTAAATTGACAATAAGTTAGATTAATTTGTTCCCTAAATTAAGTCTATTTTGCCCATGATGGTAATTTCAAGTGATTTCTCTATATCAGCTCAGGATTTTTTCCATCTTATTTTCTTTCCTTTTCCTAATGAAGAGGGGGTAGTAAGTTACTGGGTTGGCATCTGGTGTCTGGCCAAGATAATCCCTCTAAAGTATAGCATACATAAAACTTTGAACAATTCTGTTTAGTTAATTTTACTTTAATAATTTTTTTGATCACATAGTGAGAATTATGAGTCTCATATTGAATCTCATGGAATGGTCTCAAAACTTGTGTGATACACCTGGGGGAATATGAATTAACTTGGTCTAATGAATTACCAAGTACTGAAATACTAACAAGTGAAAATTAAGGTCCCCCAGCATTGTCAGAGAGCAGAACTCAGCATCTAATATACCAGTGTGTCTGCTTACAGATAAGTCCTTCCATACTTGCCTGGACTTCCAGTCAATTCCTTGTGTTTATCATGGAGAGCACTCAGCAAGTGGCAGGTGCCTTGAATAATTGCTGTAACATTCTCCAGCTACTGGCTGAGAGATCTGCTCAGGTCTTTTGGTAAAGAGGTCAGTCCAAGCACATACTCCTCCAAATCTCCTTTATCCAGATCACTTTTCAGAAGTACATCTCTTGCTAGAAAGTTCAGGTAAGAGATTTTTCCTAGGACTTGTCCTGATTTCTCTGCAGATGTAGTCTTACTTTCAGCTATATCCATTTTATGTTCAGAATATGCTACTACAATTTTTTTTTTCATTCGAACTCTTCCACAAGGTGTTGTCCTTGGTGCAGGCTACTACACTGTTTAGCATTTCTAGCCTAACAGAAATTTTAAAAGTACTGTATTCCACAAACCAAATTCTATCTGAGAAACTCTGAGTTGATGTTGACTATTAAAAAGTTCCTAGGTGACAGGAAGGAGTGGCTGTTCTGTAACCATAGGCGAGGATTGCCCGGAGACGCCAATGTACACCATGCGCCTTTAAGGGAGGTTATGTAACTCAGTTATGTAACAGTGACTTAAAACTTCAGGATATCTGAGCAATTTCTTATTTTGGTGGCTACAAATGATCAGTACTTACAAAATCAAATTTAATTGGTTATTTACAATTATATACTTGCCAGCAATGAAACACAGACACACAGAATCACTAGGGTGGAAGAGACCTTTAAGGTCATCGAGTCCAACCCATGCCCTGACACCTCATCTAAACCATGGCTCCAAGCACCACATCCAGTCTTTTTTAAAATACATCCAGGGATGGTGATTCCACTTTGGCCTTCTTGGCCACCAGGGCACACTGCTGGCTCATGTTCAGTCGACTGTGGGCCAATACCTCCAGACATTTCCTTTTTAAACACAGGATTCTATATCAGATCTCATGACAGCAAATGAGGAAGTAATGGCCACTTAAATTACAGTTGACTCTTCCAGGTTTTTTACTCTTCAGTAGTCTTAAACAGAATGTATGTTTAGGTTGTCTGATGATCTGATGATCAGGATTTGAATGTCTCTAAAGCCAATGATTCATAAAGGAAAACCATTGCTTTAGTTATTAAAAAAAAATA